CGAGAGGTTTCGTGGTAGCGTCTGACCGAGAAGACCACCAAGCACGTACATGATGCTAATCGAAGCTCTTTAGTCAAACTCAAGCAGCCGTATTAAGGTTTATGGAGAGTTGTCATCAGAATCGGTGACATCCAATGGTGTCTACCAGGGATACCCACTGTCGCCGTTTCTTTTCAATTTCGTTATTTATTTAACACGAATAGGTACAACCTTAGGTGGGTCTGACTTCCCAGGGATTGATTTCTCCCCTAGCTGGAGGTCATTTGGCTGACTTGGAGTACACAGACGATATCCTTCTGTTAGGTTAAGACGCTGACGAAATGCAGGGTCTTCTGAAAACCTTGATTAGAAATCTGAGTATGTCTGGGTGGTTTGAATTTCATACCTGTCAAATGTAGGATGATGCCTCACGATTAGTTTACAGCCACTATTAGTTTAATGATAGGGAGTGAAGTAGTGGAGTGTGTCGAGCACTTTACTTAATTAGGGTGTTCCATCAGCACGAAAGGGCTGGTTGCTGACGAAATCTCAAATCGACCTGTTTGGCATTTGTCAAAGTGCCTCACCTGTGACACCCAATGGTGAGGTATTAGATCAGCTATTGAGGGAATAATATTCAGCACTCTAGTCTGTTCTGTCCTCTAATATGGATGTGAGACATAGCCTCTGAAAGTAGAAGGTATGAAGCGGTTACATGGTTTTGATCACAAGTGGTCTTCGCAGCAATGTGCAGATACACTAAAATCACTGTGTGAGCAATGTCGAGGCTAGGCGGAAGGCACTAGACAAGATAGGCAATTCTATTGATGAGGTAGTGAACCCTTACCAACTGAGGTGGCTTGGACATGTTGCGCATGCAAAGCCACCATCTACCTTAACGTGTTATGCAAGTAGTTGGATTAGGCTGTAATATAACCCAGAGTGGCCAAACCAAGACATAGCACCAGTTGCTGAAATCTCTTGCTGTTGAACCTGAACCACTTAGGGAGGTGGAGACTGGTGCCTTCGAAACTATAGGAATCGGTGGTTGGGAACTCTCGGTGACATGGCTGGAAATCGTACACAATGACGTTTTCTGAAGCTTAAATATTAGGACTAACCTCCGTCTTCAGTTGTTTATTCTCTCATACACTTTTCTCTATTTTCATATCAGGCTTTTCCTATCCAAATGTTGCTTGCATGTTACTGTGAAGTGTGGCAACTTGGATCGGTGCACTTGTGTGCAAGGCTGTATGTTGATTTCTGTGTCTGTCTCTGTCTCTGAATAGTAGTTTGTGCTTTACTCAGCTGCTATCGTTAGTCAACTAGTTAACTTCTTAACTTTAATAAATTAGTCAACTGATGTTCTTTCTCGCATCGTTCCTGAGATCAATACTTTTCTCAGATTGTCTCAGTTTGTCTACGACAATTTGCTTTCAACAATCACTTACACAAATTTGTGCTGATGAGAAAATTTAGTTAAACTGTTATAAATAATAGAGAATACACAGATTAGGTGCAATATCTACTTACCTGTCGCATTGTCGATAGTAGTAGGCAGCAAAGCAATTTTAGGTAACTGACATATAAAACTTTTTTCTTCAATACAATTAGCAATATCCCACGAATAATGTTGATCGTTGACTGAGACACAGCTTTCTGGATTCTTCAGATGAGAAAGCAAATGAAATGCAGGATTACCAGTAGACTCTGTTGTAGTACTTGTGATTGGAGTGGTAGGTGGAAATACCGAAAAATCAAACGCTGAATAATCACTCCAAGCTAAGTTCACTGATGATAACTGCGGAACATCAGAATTCACTGAGAAAGGAAAAACAAAGCAGATCAACTAATAGAACGTATTTACAAAGTATATTCAGGGTAACCTTTACCAGTTGTGATCCATACCATAACACTTAACCTTTGAAAAAACAATGAAGAACAGATTCAGCTTTCAATGTATAGGATGTATTTTTACTTGTGTAATCCCGGCGTAGTATATCAGAACAAATAACAAAATGAACAAATATTTTGTATTATTCCTCAGTTTTCTCTGTAAAACTTTACTGAACATGATTACCAGGTCGATATTTGAAGGGTTCCCTTTTGAAAATACTAAAACCTAAAGGAATTAGTGTCATCATTTTTTTAGAAATGTCAGCAACTAAAAAAGTGAGGTATCAACACAATTTGAACTCTCTAACGATTCTCGTATTTCCAAGAAACCTAAAAAGGAAGTTTTACTGACTATATCCATGAAAACTTGTGCATTGTAGAGAGAATCAATTTATTATAAATATATGTGTAAACATTCATTACACATAATACTGATAATAAAGTTTTACTGATAGCTATTCTTTAGCAGCATTAATTCGGAACTAATAAATAGTTTTACAACAAAATGAAAAACATGCAGAGAAAAAGCGAACGAAAGTACGTACCGAATACTTTTAGGCCAGTCCAAAACGATGATGATAGTGACTGGTTAATGAGAAATTGTAGCTCTTCAGTTGAGTGAACTGAAGTCAAATGACCATAACTTGGCGATTTCTTCAAAGTCAAACTGCCTTGTTCTTGGCACAGACGTTCAGCACTAGACCAGTTTCGCCTTTCTAATATAGGTGGTAACCAATAACAGTTATCCTTGAATGATATCCAACTATTTGGGCATGATAGTGAGTCAACTGTGTGCTTATCATTCACAGATGAAACACTATTCTCTGTAAAATAAAGACACAAAAATAAAAAAAACCCAATTAGTTTATAGTGATAATATCGATGAGGAAAAATGAACTTACAGTTCAGTAGTTTAAACACTCAACCCTCCCCCTCAGCTCTTTGCTTCAAATCCAGTCTTACAGAAATAGGAATCGACAAGTAATACAGGGGAAACAGTTATAAAATAATCACATGACTAGGTACGATTGTTAAGCGTATGCGACATATGAAACAGAAAAGGTAAGTTTGTTCAATGAAGCCATTGCACATAATTTGTAACAAACACTTTAAGCTACGTCTGATGGGTTAGCGTCAAGTTCTCATTACAGGAAATTTGAGTTCATGATCAAATTGACTAAAACAAAATGCAGCCTAAAACACGCACTTTAGACGACTGTAAAGAGATTGCATGCAAGATAGAAAAGGTTAGAATCAACCTCATAAGAACAAAAATAGTGATACCAACAGTAGTAGAGTATCAAGAAATGAAGGAAGGAGAAACAAACAAGTCATGTGTTATATCTGTTTAAAGACAGTAAGAACTGAATAAAAAGTGACGCGATTACTGCTAGTAGGTAAGTGTATACCTACAAAAAATCACTCTGCTGTTGTTGTTTAACATATGGTTCAAGAAGAAAATATTCAATAACTTGACAATTCGCAAAATGCATGACAACGAGTTCGACAATTTTAAAAATAAGCAGCTTGGTGATAAATTGAAAAAGGACAAGTAAATTTGCTTGTCACAAAGAGGTATCTACCCAAAAGTGAGAAGTAGAAATAGACACCTGTAAAAGAGTGAAATGTACACAATTTCAATGTTACAATTGTACGCTAGATAAAAAATAAGATGAACTATGCTGGAACAGAAGTTACTGTAAAACTCTGTGCTAAAATTATATCATTGAGAATTCTGAAAAATCTAGAAAATCATATGCAACTGAGATTTTACAGAACCTTCAGACCAGCGTGCACTTGCTTCCGAACTTATCATTGGGTTACTTCAGAATGCATGGACTCTCCAGTTAATGCGCTCGATTGTTCTACTCGTTTAGAGCTGTGGCTTATACAGAAACAGCAAGCATCACATATAGGTACGTACATTCAATCCATACATAATCGGTCATCGTGTAAAAAGAATGACTCATGGTCCAATGCAATAACTTCTATGCTGATGTTCAGTTGTGTTATCTACGCTATATTACTGCACAAAACTTTTCTACTTGATTGCCAACGTTCAAAAACACTAGATCCGACGACTTCATTAGCACTTACTTTACCAGAGTAATTCATGAAGTCAGTTCTTAGGAGGTTATATGATAACGAAATTCCTGAAACCAATTATGAAAGCCTGAATAATAGCAGAATAAAGTCAGTTAAAACGTTAGAATGCATGTAGACATACACAAACAGACGAAAAAGGGAATCTAAATACAAGTAAAACAATCATACATATATGTATTTATTAAACCAAGCAACAGCAATGGAAGAGACAAGCAATACGTTTATTGACAAGTGTAATGATGAAATCCTATAAATCTGAAAAATAAACTCAACGATCGTATCACACAAATGTGTTTTTTTATAAGAAAAAACATGTATATCATTGAAATGCAGCGTATGAAAACACAACCTGAGTGTATCGCAAACACAGCATATATATATGCATATATATATATATATATATATATATATATATATATATATATATATATATATATGAAACTGTAGTGAGCATACGCATTCATTTCAGGCAGACACAGAACTTAGTAAGGTGCGTATGTATGTTTTCGTGCATTTAACATCCTATTGATTTTATGAATTATCTCTAATATAAAATTTGCACAACAATTTCTAGAAGTATCAAGTCTTGCTTAATTTGAATTATTCCGTTGAAATAAATATTTCAACATGCTTACAGACACATAAATGTATGTGGGTGAAGGAATCCAATCTAAGCAGTCAATACTTGTGAATCAATCAGTATCGATATAAGACCAAGTAAAACTGCACAGCGGTTTAAGTTGACACTCCATATAAGCACAAGAAAAAAAAACAGTAAGATGATTGATGAAGAAAGAGAGGAAAAACAACCGAAAGCAGCAGAAAGCAGTAAAAGAGAGGAAGAAAATATGAGGGAGTGGTGAATTCAGTACAGAGTTTAAGATGAAGCGCTGATACATCTACGCAAATGATATCGATTCTCAGCTAAATAACCTACGGTCTCGAACCATTGGTTACTGTTGCTACACGGGCCCCAATCGGCTGGTCTACATCTCCCAATATGTTTTAAACCAACAGTCAATGGCTTCATGCAGTGATGCAATGATTTGGTCTGGTCGCCCCGAAACGTTTTCCAGTCTGAAACTACTTCAGTCAACATCGCACAATGAGACAGACGGTGACAGGATATGCATAACACATGCGCCAGCCATTTCAGTAGATGAAGGTCATCAATCTGATCAACCTTCCTCCCTAAGACTCTACACTTGACTACTGTGTTACTTACATGGTAACACCACAACACAGCCTATGCTACGAAGACAACGGTAGTCAAACACCTGAAACCTTTTCGTGTCTCCTACCTTTAGTGGCCATGTTTTACAGCCAAACAGTAAAACATAAAGAAGCGATCACAGTAAACTCGACCCTAATGGGTAATTAGATATTGCGCAGCACTACAGATGGAGTAAGTTGGAGAAAGCCAATCGATCCTTTTGTATCCATCTAGAGATTTCGTAGGCCCCTGACCCGCAAGAGCTGATCCGACTTCCCAAGTAACCGATTCACTCTCCATTGTTAGACAGAGCGTAGGTGAAGATCAGTCCTGGAGTAACGATTTGCATTTAGGTAGTAACAAGGGCAATACAAATATTATACAGTACAGCAGAATATGATTCATTCGCCGTGGAGCAATCCTCGTGTCGAAAATATTATCACAAACCGACTCATTGGATAAGCGGTAGAGTATTTATCATAAAACCTATCAGTACTGCACTGGATCCAGTGAGAGGTCAAAAAAGAAGATTACTAGGAGGTTTCCAAAGCAGAACAGTTAGCCGTTGCTCCCTGATTCTTATCATTCTGAAATTCGATTTCAGTTCATTATGTAAATAATCACTACAATGTCTGAATAATCTTTGACAACCAAGTAGGCATATCAAATAGTAATTAATATAACTTATATGTTCATTTAATAGTTCACCGATGACAAGAGATTTGACTTAGTTTGTGTTAAACTAACTCTATATTTACGATAATATGTGTACGAAATTTAGTAGGACATTTTGCAATATTCTAGTCGTACAGGAAAGATGATTGGGAGTAGAAGACAATCGAACTATAAACGAGGAAGTTGTAATGTTGTAGTATGTAATTCTGTTGATCTTTAGGGTAAACTGAGCACATTGAACGAAGCTTAGTAAAAAGAATACGCGAAAATCAAAAATGAGATATACCAACTATGCCAAACAATAAAAAAAGATTAAATGTTAATGAACGAGTAACATAGCGATCGGTCTTGTAGTATCATCCATATGTAGTTCATAGATGATGGCACAATACAAACTATTCCAAATGTATTAATTTTGACAGCCAGATACCATACATTGTCGGTTCGTATACACGCAGTACTTGTGATTGAACGGTTCAAGAGAGTATTATTAACCAACGTATGCATAATTTTATGCGATTAGATCAATTAATAAATTTGGACAGAGCAAGCACTAAGAGATTTGTAGAATAAAATAAGCAACTGAGGTGACATAGTTGTATATACAATCAAGCTTTAAACAACTAGGCGACAGGATGGAAACTCGTCATGTTTAATTACGCTGTCGTCGCACAAAAACAAAAGAATGAAGTACCCAATGTAAACTTTATGCTAGTCTTCAAAATAATTAATATACTTATCAGTTTTTGTAAGAGTGTAACTAATTAAAAGCATTCGTTGATGAAGTGATAACAAAAATATTCCGTGTTAGATTCGTTTGTTTGATTTATAACACACAGTGACCTAGTATTATTTACTTGATGACGTTTCGAGCATAAATTATTGCTCATAATCATATCAGTGTAATCACACTACTTTCGACATTTGATTTTTATAGTTATGTCACTTTTTATAAATTTTTTTTATTGGTATCAAAATTTTTGACATCTCTGGTATAGGTGTTGCGTCATTTCCATTACATGTGTTGAGTGTTGATTCGATGAACAAAGATTCAGTAATCAATCTCTCTCTCCACCTAATTATATTAGACTTGAGTACAGTGGCTTTATCCCACCCTATTGTGTGGTTGTGCGTTAATGCATGCATAGCAAGAGCTGAGTCTTTTTCTAGATTATTGATCTTATTCAGGTCTGTTATTCTATATTTAGCTAAATTCCTATGTTCGGCTATTCTAACTGACCCCGACCGACTAGTTTGACCTATATACTTGACCTCACAGTCATTACATGGAATTTGATAGATTATATTATTTTGCTAAATTGGTTCTATCGGATTCCTGAGCCAACAAAGTTTATCTCTGAGTGAGTTTGTAGGTTTAAATACCACTCTAATTCCAGCTCAGTTGAGGATTTTACGTAAAGTTTCTGAGGTACCCTCTTTATAGGGTAATACAATGGAGGCTGTGAACTCTTTTTTACTCGTGTTGTCGTTATTAGTCGCACTCGTGTGACTGTTATTTTCTCGTTTTTTGTGTGTCCGTAAGAATTTCTTAATCAACTGTGGAGGATAATTACTAACTATTAGCGCTTCTTTTACGTGTTTCAATTCCTTGTTTAGGTTCTTGCTGTGACTAGTCAGTTTTCTAGCTCTATCATTTAGACATTTGACTAATCCTGCCTTAACTGACATTGGATGGGATGATTTGAAGTCTAGATACCTGTTAGAATGTGTTGGTTTTCTGTAGACTAATTAGAGCAAGAACCTAAACAAGGAATTGAAAAACGTAAAAGAAGCGCTAATAGTTAATAATTATCCTGCACAGTTAATTAAGAAATTCTTACAGACACACGAAAAACCAGAAAATAACAGTCAAACGGGTTCGACTGATAACGACAACACGAGAAGGGTACCTCAGAAACTTCACGTAGAATCCTCAACTGAGCTGGAATTAGGGTAGCATTTAAAACTACAAACTCACTCAGAGATAAACTTTGTCGGCTTACCATGTAATGACTGTGAGGTCAAGTATATAGGTCAAACTAGTCGGTCGGGGTCAGTTAGAATAGCCGAACATAGGAATTTAGCTAAATATAGAATAACAGACCTGAATAAGATCAATAATCTAGAAAAAGACTCAGCTCTTGCTATGCATGCATTAACGCACAACCACACAATAGGCTGGGTGGGATAAAGCCACTGTACTCAAGTCTAATATAATTAGGTGGAGAGAGAGAGATTGATTACTGAATCTTTGTTCATCGAATCAACACTCACACATGTAATGGAAATGACGCAACACCTATACCAGAGATGTCAAAATTTTGATACCAATAAAAAAAATTATATAAAAAGTGACATAACTATAAAAATCAAATGTCGAAAGTAGTGTGACTACATTGATATAATTATGATTACGAAGAACATTTCCAACAAACTACAGACATTCATCAACAGCCATTGCCTACGCTTGATATTGAAGATCAGATCAGATCAGATGGCCAGAAAGAATAAGCAACGAACTAACCAGGAACCTATCGCCCAACAAATATGCAGAAAAAAGTGCACATGGATTGGATTGCATTGGACATACGCTGAGAAGATTATTTGGAGGCATCACGCGCTAGACCAAGCCCTCGAGTGGAACCCAAAGGGGAAACGACAAGTTGGGCGTCGGAGGATGACATGGAGAGGAGATGGTGTGAGGAAGAAATGAAAGCTTCTAGGCAGTCGTGGAACCAGGTTCGAAAGACTGCAGAGAAGAGAGTGAAATGGCGACGTGTTACTGAAGCCCTATGTTCCACTAGGAACCTAAAGCACAAATAATAAATAACAATAAAAATTATCATAGATCCAGAGATCGTCGGTAAAAATGTAAGACTAGTTATAGTGGTTTGTCGGTTCAACTAGCCACAAGTACAAAAGAACAGCAGAGCATAGAAAGTGAAATAAATCAGCAGAAAAAAACAATAAATGATGGAAAGTGAATATAGAATAAAACAAAAATGGACATTGATAGAAGCAAAAAGATTTGACACACCCATTTACACCAAAATAGCACGGTAGAAAATTTATCCAACGGGATTATGAACTCCATTCTATCATAAGAACAAAAATGAAAAGTTTCAGCCAAAATAATTTTCTCTTCTATGAAGTTCTTTTAACTCCACGTTCGTAAATATGTAATACAATACAAGCTCTAGATCAAAACCTAGTCAAATCATTAGAGCAGAGCATGTCCTATCGCTTCTCAATGACTGTATAGGCATGATGGCTTGATGTTGTAGTAGATGGCAACCTCCAAGTTTTGTCTGCTGATGAATAGCAGTTTAACGTAAGAAGCACATTTTACCTCAATTAAAACACGTAACACTTGAATTGTCATGAAATTTTGGTGCTGGAGAATACCAACACTCACAAAGATGTGTGTGCCCAAATCGAAATCCTTGAAAGAAAACTTTTAAAGTAGACATGAACCTGTAGCTAGGCATCAATACTACCTACGATCTAAAAATGAATCGACTTGACCAAGCAAAGGTCACTGGATGAAGCATGAATGCATGATAATGAGGATGGGAATGCTTCCTAGAATTCAAATTCCATATGAACATTAGATATAGTAGATCCAGAAGGACAATAAAACAGTGTGATGCTATGAGGTACAGTCTGAAAGTATTAATGGTTATTGATGACGAGACTCAAAAGAGGATACAACAAGAGATTCAAGTTAGGCAAAAGCCATATATGATGGTATATTTTAGAACTTTACATGAAATATCATTGTTAACAGGTTCACTAACCAACAAAACTGAACATTAAAAAAGTATCATGATTACATGACTGCTCTCTTCTGTTTTTGAGTCAACGCATAAATTATGAACTACAAGAACAGTTTCTAAGATATAAAGAACCACAAAAGGCATACAACAAATTATGTCACTCATGAAACGTGATCACATTAGTTGACTTCGAGAAGATATGAGATGGGTCAGTTTCACCAAGATATTCATTGAAGGGTCTCATGTTAAGTTGAAGCAACACAAATCCCAGTTGTCCGTTGTCTAATCGCTTTGTACGAAACAGTGAAGCATTATTTAATATATTGTTATGTTTCTTGTAATTTCTCGAATTGCTCGACTGCCATGAGCCAGTGGATAACGCATCGGCGTTTGAAGCCATGGGTTAGTGGGAACAACATCACTCACTGAGGTGCAGGTACATCCAGCTGACGAGTCCCAGATAGAACGAAATGCGCATCCTAGATTCCTCTGCTAGTTATCAACATGAATATTATTATTATTATTATTATTAGTCCCTTGGGTTCCTAGTGGAACATAGGGCTTCAGTAGCACGCCTCCAGTGACCTCTGTTCTCTGAGATCTTTTGAACCTGGTCCCACGACAGCCCAGAAGCTCTCATTTCCTGCTCGCACGACCTCCTCCATGTCACCCTTGGACGTCCAACTCGTCGCTTCCCATGGGGATTCCACTCGAGGGCCTGACGCGTGATGTCCTCAGTCGGCCTTCTCAGTGCATGGCCAATCCATCTCCACTTCTTCCTGCATATTTGTTGCGTGATAGGTTCTTGGTTGGTTCGTTCCCAGAGTTCCTTGTTGCTTATTTTTTCTGGCCATCTGATCTTCAGCAGCGAGCGTAAGCAGTTGTTGATGAATGTCTGTAGTTTATTGGAAATACCTTTCGTGACGCGCCAAGTCTCTGAGCCATACAAGAGCACTGACTTGACGTTGGTGTTGAAAATCCGTATCTTGTTCCGCATGCTGAGTGCAGAAGATCTCCACACTGGTTTCAGGCTAATGAACGCCTGTCTTGCTTTTCCGATTCTGACTTTGACGTCCTCGTCTGTGCAGCTGCCTGTAGTTGAAACAGTGCTTCCTAGATAAGTGAAGGAGGTTACTTCCTTCAAGTTTCTCCCGTTGACGGTGATTGGAGTTTGTTGTTGTTGTTGATGATGGTGGTGGTGAGGTATCTTCATCACCTCTGTTTTCTCTATATTCACCTGAAGTCCCGTCTTCGCTGCCTCTTCTATCAACTTGTTAGTTTTTGCCTGCAGATCTTCCAGTTTATGTGAGATTAGGCACAAGTCATCGGCGAAATCCAAGTCTTCTAGGTTCTTTTCCGTCGTCCAGCGTATCCCCCTCTTATCGCTGCCTACTGTTTGCTGCATGATCCAGTCCACCACAATAAGGAATATCATGGGGGATAGTAGGCAACCTTGTTTCACTCCTGTCTTCACTTCAAAAGCATCACTGAGCTTCCCATTGTGGATTACTTGGCATGTGGCATCTTCATATAGTTGTTGAATGAGGCGGATAAAGGTTTGCGGCACTCCGTAGTATTGAAGCAGTTTCCAAATTACCTCTCGGTCGACGCTGTCAAAGGCCTTCTCAAAGTCGATGAAGTTGAGGTGGAGAGGTGATTGCCATATCAACATGAATATAACACTACTTAATATATTTTTACCCTGATAACGAAACTGAAATCAATAATGTAACTACCTATTTATACGATCAGCTATACTCATTGAGTGAAGCTAATGATACTGTTTAACTCAACTAACCTAGAAAAATCAGTGTTTGAACCTATGACTGTTGATTAAACGTGGAATATCCAAACCGAATTATGACACTATATATATGTCATGCAAAGTGTATACATGTGCGGTGCGAACATTTCAGAGAATTAAAGAAAACAGACAGAAGCAGCTTGGGTCATTATACAAGGCACGATCAAGATATTGTAGTTTCGAAAACAAAATGCATGAAAGTAGCATTATTATTTTAATCCTCATTTAATTGATTCTCTGCTTGTATTTTGGTAAAACACCTTAACCTGAATCAGGGGATTTTCTGTTTATCAAAATGCCTTCTATGCTCAAAGTGTCTTAAATATAGAAATATAGATCCATGTGCATTTCATCTGTTGCAAAACAGAACATTCTCATCGCAACTCATAAGTTATATTTCATAATACCAGATTCGTTCAGACTGAAAATAACCGCTTCTATTTGTCTTTTTTGGCAAACTAGTTTCGAATAGTTCATTCTGAACATGAACCCCAATAAAAACGAGGATAATGACGAACACGCCAATCTTTTAAATGACTCTTCCTTCCCAGTCAACTGTCAAATATCACATTATCTTTCTTGCTGGAATCAAATTTACATAGACAATCGTAAAAAACCTATATATAACTATCTAAAAAAACACATTCTATAACAGATAAACTGGTTCATTTCTTACTAAGAGTGTATGTACAAATTGCAGGTAACAGATTTGAACAACTCCTCATTTGAATTAAATTGCCACTATAAATGGGGAGAGCAAAACAATCGTACGAAGAATGTTGATTTTTATGATCTTTATACTGAAAGAGTCCAGCAAAATCAACCTGATTGAAGCATCGTGTAAAGAACCGTCTTCAGACAGAAGTTGACCCTATGAGATATTTAAAAAAAATGAAATAAATCCAGACTCTCATTAGCATGAAGAAAAAGAAGAGACAAAAAGGCTAAGTAGTATTAATGAGGCTACAAATCTGCAGTTCAAATACTCAAATTTCAACTAATGGGTCACAAGGTAGAAACCCTTAGCAGTTCTAGTGTTTAAGTCATTTAAATAGTTGTAATTATTCTCAAATAATAGGTGCATCTCATACAAGTCCAGTAACAACTATGCGATCAATTTTTTTTACAAAATCCAGTCCTATAGGAGCACTAGTGGTGACCTACGAAGCTAACACGCCGACATACCTACTGTGAACACTTCACAAACTAACTTCAAATTCCACTTCAATTGTTGCTCAATTCCCCAGAAAAGAAAACTATTATGGCACAAAAGAAGGTTTAAAGTTAACTATCCCCGAAAATACTCAACTATTTATTTTATCGATAGGTGACTGGCACATGAAAACCATTTTCGAAAGTTCATTGCGTAAAGTGTTTTGTTCATGTAATCACGGCACGGTATGCTAAAATATGCTAAAAATAAAATAAATAAACATTTCGTTTGTTCTAATATTCTATCCCGGGAATAACACAATGACTTTCATTAACTTGGTGTCCAACTTTTCCCAAACATTGCGTTTCAGAAAGTTGTTATCATTGACTTTTGCAAACTTGTTCAAATAAACAGCTACATATGTAGACAAGTGATTTTCTGGAAACTTGTGAACAAGACGAGTAATTCCGAATATTCCCAGCTATGCATACCTTCTCAACAGATGCAGGGACTAGATAAAGTGCGTCTTTGATAAGGAATTTTCCCGACTTCATTGGTTGAAGGAGATTCGAATATCCGAATAAACATGAGCTTTCTAACGGATTTAGACAAGCCTTTGAGGAATATCAACAAAAATGAAACCTTGGGAAAGTAAGGTTAACTGTTTACTAACTTGAAAAACTTACCGAACTCAACGTGCGGTTTAGTTTTAAACCAACCCAAACACTGTCATTAGAACCGAATGTTCGTGATAAAATACGCATGAATGCTGCCTCAGCTTGACTATGCGGGGTCGCCAGTATAGGGCAAAGTATTGTGCCGAAGTTTTCATGGTGCGGGGAGCAATTTGCACCAGTAGCATGAGTATGTAGTAAACAATGACCACTTATTTCATCACGGAAGTCAGTAGTACTACGTACTGAATTGTGTGCTGGTATTACAGAGTAACACGAGTTATTAAACATGTAGAAACCAGATTCACAAGAACCTTGCTCTAATATTCCCAGAAGCCGCGAAACTTTTTTTTTATATGGTGTATTCACTATTTGAAGAAAAAAAAGTAAATATGCATTATGCACATGAAAATCAAATTATCTTTTACAAACCAAATCTAACTACACCACCTGATGACAGCGAAAATATTCAACAAACAATACACAATACGGGAAGTACTAGTCACTGACAGAGGAGAAAACTCGAAACTTTACTTTAGTGAATGCGCTGTTCATCTGCACTGAAGCAGTAAAATTAGTTCATGGTTCTAAAAAACTCATCCACATTCTTTAAAATTTAACGTTACACCATCCGCTTTGAGATGGAAAGTATGAAGTGTAAAACATGATATGATGAGAATACCGACATTAAGATTTACAAGCTTGAAAGTGTTGGTAGGTGTTAGAAAGTGCATACTTTTACAAACTTTTCTCTAGAAGCAAAACCAAACCCAGCACTTCACTAGCTTGATGTGTAATTAACTGTAAATGAAGAAGAATAATTCAGCTGAAAAGTACATTAACAGGGTACATACATAGAAGGGAGTGTTTGTCAAGTTTCCATTTGCTTAAGAAACAAAAATTGTCTACTGATGATGGTGTTAAGAAAGAACTAGATGGTAATCTAAGAACCGTAACGAAAAACAAATTTCCATTTGGTTATACATAGGAGAATTTCAAGGTGTAAGACATTATGTGATGTATACATCTAGGTCAGAAGATTCAGATGGCATTCAAATTTGAGGCTGGCAGTTCTAATTGCGACTGTCAAGAACGTAAATGCTGTAATGATAATGTCCGATATATATTCTCCCGCGGAAACTCGTTTAATGAATATAAGAAGGACAAGCTGATGTATTAATTCAAAACAGATATATAAAACCTTACCTACTCCAGTCAGACTGAGCACAACGACCGCGCCATATGTCCGTCTGTCAAACATGCTCCTAAACACCACTCTGCTGGCTGACAAAGGTGATAGAATGCATCTCCGGTTCTGTTGCAGAAGTAGTTACAACCGACTGCTTTCCAAGATCTACAAAGTCTTACCAAATTGTTTGAAAAGAGTGGGGATATGGTATTCGGGTATGTTCAGTGAATTTGTTAAGTTCAAATTACTTCTGTTTCCAGTGCCGTTCTTATCACTAAACACAACAACTAAGTAAACTACTTTCCAATGGTCATTTAAGATGTAATGATCTATCCATCATTAACGCTTTCTGAAGATCTGCAGACAAATACCAAACAGTTCTGATATTGTTTCCCACAATAATTATAATCCTAGATAATAGTATTCATCACCTTGATCTTATCAAACACAGAATTTTCTCAAAATTCATACTTACGAATTGGAAACTACATAGGTTGATATGATGTAAATGTGAAGCATTAGAAAAAGGCGTGAAATGTGTTATACTCGGAAAGTGTAATTATACTTTACTATAGGATTCTCTTTACCTTTCACCTGTTTAATACTACACAACTGATTTTACTGTAAGATGACTCAATCGTCAAGCAACCAAAAAACGTTTTACATATAAGGTCAAAGGGAACTGCGGTAGAAACAGGATAGGGAAAAACACTAAAGCAAAAGAAGGGGAAAAAGCTACATGATGAGTAGTTCTTAAAACAGTGATTGACTAAAAATGACCAGATTAATAAATAGCACCTAGTAGTGCATTTAGAAAACTGCACGGATCAATACAATATAGAAAATTGTCGAAACATTTAGTGAAAGGAAACAAGATGGAAGGAGAATCAAATCTTCTGGTTTAGAAATTCACCAACTGTTATAGTCTACCCATCGGCATCTATAAAAAAGGTGAAAATCAATTATCCCAGATAATGTTAATACCATAACAGGGATAACCACATAACTTGACAAAACTTCGAAATGAGAACTTCGAAAAGTAAGATAAATCGCTCTAACCGGTAACTAAAAAAACTAACGATTAGTAACTACAAAACTACAGTGAGAGATTACAAAAATACACCGTCCGTGTTTAACTGCTATTGTTCACCAAAAGTGGATAAAGAAAATTTAAAACAGCACTAGTGAACAAGCTAAACAAATTTTGATGGATAAAGGTTATTGCATAATTCCGCTATAAAAGTTGCGCACGATAATAACAAGATTGAATTCTTCAGCTTCGAATACCCAAAAGTTACTTCGATCTAGGAACATACGAATACCTTGATTAAAAAGCCATCATCTATCAATTTTTCGATTACGTGGAAGCACACAGTGAGTGAGGTGTCCACTGAAGCATTAAAATCGGTTAGTGTCTTGTTAAGTATATTTAGTAATTGCATTTAAAGCAGTTATGTTACAAATGTGTATTCATACGTAAGAGTCTTTATATGAATATTTTAGCATTTACTGCCTATTCCGAAAATCTTTCAATCGTCTTAAAGTAGATACTGTGTTCCAAAAAGCACTGTAAGAAATATCACACTTTCTGACCCCTCACGCGCAAAATACCTTCTTAGAACTGACCGACAATATTCACTTAAACAGTAAAGAATAAGGTAGCCGGATACTTAAGTAATAAAGCATACGGAGAAATAGCACACAAATGCATGAACCAGATATCGAAAATATGTGCATTGAAAATGACGATGATCAGTCTAAAATCTTTCGCTGTGGCGCACATGAATTCACAACATTCAATACTCTTCGATTTGATGCTCCAATGTGCTTCCTAACACTTTTCGGCTAAATTTTAACAGGTATCCGAATCGTTAATTTCCCTCACTTTATTCTTCTCGTTCATTTATGGCAAAATAAGTGAATAATCTTTTGTGCTAGGCACTATATTTTGTCTGTCTGTTTGATGATATTCAGTGAAGAAAAAATGAGCCAAGAAGATACTAATATCGGAAACATATCAATTGGATAGACCCTAATTATTATGCACATCTGGTAATCGAAAAGACTGACTGGGGAGTCAGGTCGAAGTTTCAGGTGATATCAACTATAACTGGCTCGAGTTTGCCAGTACCACATCTGACATCAGCACTTCAGGAAACTTGTTTGCTCTTCTGCATGAAATACAATTCTATTTCTGCTTCATCTCTACCAATGACGACAGACATTTAGTGAATCTCGTTCAGTTATCAGTTTGTGCTTATAATAAACGACAAAAACAGATCAAATTAATTACCTCTGTAAATGGGAAGCTGCATTATATTCTCATTTGAAATTCTCAACACAGAGATAATATATCGCAGTGATTATTCTCCGAAGGATGCCTTCAAGCGAATTGACCAGATTGTCCCTTCCCTTTATCGAGTATAGAAAGAGAGCCAATCTCAATCTCAGTTACATCGATTGACCATCTTACTAACTGTCTTGAACGCAAGTGGGACAGTCATTAAAGATTATCATGACTTTAAAAAAACTGCCTTGAAATAGTAAACCACCAACGACATTTATGTAATGGGAAGAATAAACTGTAACAAGAATTACACTATGAAATATCTATTGGATAGGATGAATCAAATGCCAATCTGAATGGTCAAGGTCGCGAGGAAATCATTCAAATCAGACTTACTACTAGTATTAGCTTATCAAGTCTTGACAATCCTGACGATAATGATTTCGAATTCCACACTGAACAAACAGGAAAAAGTTGAACCCCGTCTATATAGTTCAACTGAAACCCTGTGTGCTTCAAGTTGGAGAAAAAACACAGGTACTCAAAGACGAAACTGAACTATGAAAAGAATACTTCATTTGGACGATCAGTAATCATCCTATATCTGACGAATTCGGCGCATTCAATATGTAGTGTTCCTCAAACTATTTGAGCTCGTTACAGAAGATCAGGTGGCCAGAAAGAATAAGCAACAAGGAACTGTGGGAACGAACCAACTAAGAACCTACCGCTCAACAAATATGCATTGGAAGGAAGTGGAGATGGATTGGGCATACACTGAGAAGGCCGACTGGGGACACAACGCGCCAGGCCAAGCCGTCGAGCGGAACCCCCATGGGAAGCGACGAGTTGGGCGTCCGAGGTGAGGGTGACATGGAAGAGGTCGTGCGAGGAAGAAATGAGAGTTTTTGGGTTGTCGTGGAACCAGGTTCAAAAGTTTGCAGAGAACAGGGTGCACTAGAGACGTGCTACTGAAGCCCTATGTTCCATTAGGAACCCAAAGGACAAATAATAATAATAAAACTATTTAAGACTTCCACTCTGGAAAATTTAGTTCACTGATAGAATTTTAAAACGTGAAAAGAATTTTTAACAATGGCAGAAATGACAGGATCGTATAGTCAGTAAAAATTGATGACATTTAAAAAACTAGGTGTGTCTTAAGCCTAAGAGACTAAAGAGGGAAAAGATATGCCAAAGTTGTAAATGATTTGCAATACTGTAAGTCGGTGTATATGAATACGTAGATCGCAAGAGAAGGAAAGGTCATTGAGGTAGGTCATCAACTCGTTTTAGTGATGCTTACTAACACAATGAAATAAGCTATGAAACACAAGGATCTACAGCTACTGAAAGACTTAGTGAAATGATTATTAGGTCAGTTAATTTGGTCACTTTCACTGATAAAAGCAAAAAATTAATAAAACAGAAAACCGATTTAATTTAAAAACCATTTAAAGGGAATTAAAAATTATGTAGACTATTTCTCCCATTGACTTTGTCAATTTTGATTATGAGTGACTGGAAATGAAGATAGACCATGTCTCTGCACATCACTGTCCTCCAAAGATCCAGTTATTAGTGAAAGATTATTTTTGTTAACAAATAAACATGATAAAACAATTAGATTCTTTCCTGAATTTTGATATTGTGAACAGTTTGTAAATAAAAAAAAACATTTTTAAAGTAAACCTCGTCTTCTGATTACACTAATCGACCATGTTAAGCACACTTTATAATGATGGACTTACAAGGCTTAGTCTCACAGATATAGCCGAATTTCTTGCTGCATGGTTCATCACTCCATTTACCAATAACGTTCGATTCATGATGCATTATTGTACAGCTCTAAGTAGTTATGGAAGAGGTTACAAACAAAGTGGAAATATATATTATGTAAAACAAAATGATATGGTCAGTAATTTTTTCAGAGACTGATGAAATTAAGGGATCTTAGTGAGCTGGAAATTGATTTTAACTACAATTACATGATCAACAGAAGTTAGTGAACAGCTTTTTCGTTCTACCCTAAGACTTCACGAAAACACTTAACCAACACTCAACTCTCAACTGAACTACCAAGTTTTAGGGATTCACCGGTAGGCTGTTTAATCTGTAATCCAGCAGAATACATTAGAATTTCTTATCACCCCATGACTTTTTATAGTAATTTTCGATTTAACGGGTGTCATTTATGCCCAATTGAAATAAGTAACTTCTATTGAGACTTTGACTGTAGGCAACTTGCTCTGACAGGCTGAATGTATACTGTCAGATATGGCATTTAATAAAAAGTTATCTTTGAACTATGCAATATCTAACTTTGAGGTTAAAAACCCCAAAGTGTGTTTCAACTATGTCTAATCTACTTGCAGCTATCATATATAACTCTATGGTCACGTCGATAGCTAAGATGCTGTATGAAGAAAGTCTGAATCGTTACGATGTATCAATAATACATTATTGACAACTAACAGCAACTATAAAACTTAGACCAAACAGAATGTTGGTCGAATGCTTTCGACCCTCCTATTTGGAATGTGTAAGGCAACCTCGGTTAGCGACCAAATTGTTAAGATGACTGATAGAATGTATTCATCAATACAGCATATGAAATATATGATATTAACGATGGATATAGTTTATAATTGATATTGTTTATAATTCAGTGATTGATCAGTGCACTTGTATACTAAAAAATGAATGAATAAAGATAACACATAAGTAAAACACAAAACGCTTTGCGTTTTAACAGATCATATGCTTGAAAGGTAATTAGTTAAACAGTTATCTTACAGTCCCGTTAGTATTTGGTTCTGCAGGCTTCCAATTTGTGTAGACAACATCATCCCCACCTATCCATGTATGGATATTCCTTTCAGAATGTAAGCCTATCCATACAGACACTGATCGATCACTAATAAGAACAATCAAACCATCTACAAGAAGAAAAAAGACGACAAACTACAAATTAGAAAGTGGACAAACAACAACGAAAAACTGTTGTAATTATAATAAAAGAAACACAAAATTCTTGGAAAAAACATAAATCTACAAAGTACACAGTTACTCTAATGGAGATCAGTGAACAGACATCTGGCACATGATAAAAACTGACTTAGCAAATCAGAATTACCTTAAAAGCTACCACCAAAGAGCAAACGATCAACGCTTAGTTATCTAATGCTGTCTAGTAAAATTCTCTGATGGTAATCTCCAAGTGCCAAAATGTCGGAGAACCTAGTGTTTACATAAATTCATCACATTAGTCAAGAGTGAATGGATATCAAGAAAGAACAACGTATAGTGATTAAAAATGTAAGAGTCGTTACATGTCGAACAACATTTAAGGTTTTACCACTTTTCCTCAAAAACAGAGTCAACGCTGAATCGGAAGATATTAACTGAACAGAAACTCCTGTCATTATATCATAAACTCACTATCTCTTCGCCCCGATCAATCGATCGCTCCGCCTGAAGGCCAACATATTAGTTATCGATATGCTAGTCGTTTTAATGGTATGTGCAAGATATGTTTAAGTCACTAAACTTATCATTTTTAAGATGACAAGTGTATTTCATCTCACTAACTCTTGCGTCACATATGCTTACCCAATAGTTATTTTATAGCATTACTTGACATTCAGTTCCATAAGCTTTCTTCCAGTCGCTACTCATTGCTCTGTTCATAAGCAATAAGTATCTAACTGTTAAAGTATCTTAATCATTTCTAAACTAAATGGCTTTGTTGATTGCTTATAATATATTCTGCTGACGTCTGACATTGTATCCGTGAGTTACAAACCGTAAAACAACAAGTGAGGTTGACTAAACAACAAGCTAATGGTATGTTGTTTGGTTTTCTATTCAGTTGGTATCTAAACTTGTGATTTTCGCACCAGGTACAGAACCCATTTGCCAGTAAGATACATAGGAGATTACGCTCACATAACAAGTAACGAAAATTCTATCTAAAGTTACAGTAATTACACTCAATAATGATCTCAATCAAGATACAACATACACCTCTGTTTTGTGAGAATATGGCTTATAGGCTTGAGCACTGGACTCTGAAGTGAAGGGTCTCACGTTAAAAACTGCTTCGGCCTCTTAGGTCTGAGAGATCAGGTAGAATTATAAGCCGTCACGCAACAAATGTGCTTTGTTTCGATGGTGTGAAAAAATACACCATATTTGCTGGTGCTGATCAAACAATGGTTAGGTGTGAACTGAGTAGATGATTTACTGCAATCCGATATATATATATATATATATATATATATATATATATATATATATATATATATATATATATATATATATCAATAAAAAGTGCATTCCAACGGTTATTTGTAAGCTTGCATAGTACGTTATGAGCCATATCTATTGCGTAAATGCTAAGTGTATAAACCGGTTATTACGATCGACGTTTTGAAAATCTGTTACTGGTTGAAGACTGAGTTTTTAAAACGGTGATGCATAGCAGTTTACTCAATTAATCAACTTATTCAACAAGAAAATAGCACTAGAATATAATGATTACATGGTCAGATTCAATTTCACACACTTCACACCTGTTAGGATTCTACAAGACGCATACATACACAAAATGCGCCTTTTAAAATTTATCAACAGCACACAATAAGACAAGAAGAAAATTAAATAAACCAGTACAGCACACTAAGAATACCTTGCTGGTTGTCTGATAAGACAGTCGCCAGATGAGCACCAGAATCATGAGTTTGGCATGCTCTATTAGCAGTTGCCCAATCCATTGTGTCAGCTTCATTTGTATCCACCTATTCAGTAGTACATTTTAAATGATAGCCAAACAAATATATTAACACTGTCATTATCATTACCATTTACAAAACAATAAAATGTAGTTCTAGACAATACGGTTACAACTGCAAAAAAGTTATAATTTAACATTTTATCAAATATAAAGTTTCGGTCAACCAGAGATAGTCAAACTTTGTACAGTTACGCATAGAACAAACACTTCTTTTGGATCAGTGGGCATTTAGTCCACCACTTAATAATCATAATTGTTGTTCTAAAAATAGATGAATGAAAGCTAATGAATTACACGAATGGTTGATACGCACAAAATCTATTTGCAAATCGCAACCGAAATGGATACTGAAGCTAGTCCCTCTCATGAGGAAAACTGCGCTTATAACCAGTTGGTTTTTCCAATCTTTCAATGGCGGTCACTCTCTTTTAATCGTCAGTAACCATATAGCTACTAGCAAATGATACAAACTAAGAACTGTACAAAGCATGAATGTAGCATTCAGTTCACGAGTTAACTACAAAAGGTTTCATTACACTATATTAATCACGCGCATGATATGTGGTTCACTATTATTTATTATTTGTCCTTTAGGTTCCTAGTGGAACATAGGGCTTCAGTAACACGTCGCCATTTCACTCTCTTCTCTGCAGTCTTTCGAACCTGGTTCCACGACTGCCTAGAAGCTTTCATTTCTTCCTCACATCATCTCCTCTCCATGTCATCCTCCGACGCCCAACTTGTCGTTTCCCCTTTGGGTTCCACTCGAGGGCTTGGTCTAGCGCGTGATGCCTCCAAATAATCTTCTCAGCGTATGTCCAATGCAATCCAATCCATGTGCACTTTTTTCTGCATATTTGTTGGGCGATAGGTTCCTGGTTAGTTCGTTGCTTATTCTTTCTGGCCATCTGATCTGATCTGATCTTCAATATCAAGCGTAGGCAATGGCTGTTGATGAATGTCTGTAGTTTGTTGGAAATGCCTTTCGTAACCCGCCAAGTCTCTCAACCAAATAGAAACACTGGCTTGACGTTGGTGTCGAAAATCTGGATCTTGTTCACGCTTTATGCTGAGTGGAGTACAGTAGATCTCCACACTGATTTCAGATTAATGAAGGCCTGTCTTTGGTTTTCCGATCATGGCTTTGACATCCTCATCTGTGCCTGTGCCGCCAGTAGTTGAAACGATGCTGCATAGGTAGGTAGGTGAAAGAGACAACTTCCTTTAGATTCCTCCTGTTGATGGTGATTGGTGCTTGTTGTTGGTTGGGTATCTTTATCACCTCTGTCTTCTCTACGTTCACTTGAAGGAGGTCCTGTCTTCGCTGCCCTTCCTCTTCTGCCAGCTTGTTGGTTTTCGCCTGTAGATCTTCGAGTTTGTATGACAAGACATTAGACACAAATCATCATCGGCGGCGAAATCCAAATCTTCTTTTGGGTCTTTTCATCGGTCTAGCAGGCGTATGCCCCTCTTCTTGCTCCTCACAGTTTGTTGCATGGTGGTTTCCAATGGTAAATCAGAAGTTACCCATGCAGTATTAGGTGTATTTTACTGTGAGCAACTGATGATATAGGCGATAGATTGATCTCTTGAAAAAGTGTATATGTAACGTTATTCCACTATTATGTTTAAGCAAGCAACTAGAATTTGGATGCAGTAAATCAGTCATTATAAACAAAAACAAATATGGTTATTTGGTTGGTTGTGGCTAGCAGAGGAATCCAGGACCCACGTTTCAAAACAAATATTATACGAGTATTAGATTCAAGCCTTTTTTGCTAATAGTGTTACCAATTTTTGTCGTTTCGCTCCTTCATTTTCACTACAATTACACCCATTTTTCTTCGTTAACTTGAATAAATTTCCATTTCATATGACTTAATTTGTTGTGAACTAAGTGATAGCAGTTTTGTGAGAAATTCTAAGTTGTTATCATTATCTCCATGCTTATCTAAGGCAGAGAAAAATAGAAAAGATGCTAGGTAGTCAACAAAATTTGTAAGCTACCATAGAAGAAGAATGAGACGAAGTGTCTATTAACGATCGAGTGCATATAAATATACCCTCTTGGAAATTATCTAAAATAATATCAAAGTTCATAATAATATTAAATATGAATAGTTAAGTGTCCAAAAACAATATATAAAAGTACTCGCATAATTATTTGAGGAAATAAATACATATGAGCATACCATGAAACAACTTCCAGATACCAAAGTGAAATTTTCAGGACAACTAAAGAACGATAAGCTTTTATAGGCTTCTTCAGTAGATGAAGTGTTTTGGGGCATCATACTAGTTGAACATAAATATGGTAACGCTTGATTACACTCCGTTGTCCCCCATGTTAATAAACCATCAATGTCTAAGGGAAGTGTGACAAAGAGAAAAAGAAACGAAGTTATTAAAATAATACAAGGATTTTGCAAGTTTATCTTTAAATTTCTTACTGAAACATGTGGAGTACTTCTCACTTGATGTGGATATTACTCTACAACATTGACTGAAGAAAAGAAGAATTGGATATCGATCTTCATTATCCTGAAAATAAAGTATAAACACAAAGCCTACGCAAATGCACTAGCCATTTACTGCAAACTACTCTAGTACAGCAGCAGACTGAATAAACTAAAATCCATGTACATGATTATTTTTGTAGAGGAATAATATGCAACTACACAAATCGTGATAGATAAATCAAAGCCAACATGCCACAGAGGTGTATTGGTTCAAGTTTCAACAAGTGGATAGGAAAAGTCATATTAGAGCAGAAAAATATGAATGACACGAGGGGGAATAAAAAGATGAAGCTGAACTAAATGTTCAAGAGTTCTAGAGTAACTGTGGTCAATTTTCAGCAATATCACCAAACGTCGACAACCACTGATTTGCATTATCTTGAGGACCGCAGCTAAGCAACATATACCTCTCTATATGACTCAGACCAACAATCAAAGAGTTCATAAACCGATGCCACATATCGGTTTTGCCACCTTTAGCCTTTTTCCAAACCAAACCTACTTCCATTAGCAAAGTATATCGTGGTTGCCAACGGGTAGCTGTGCGAAACATTTAAAGTCACTTAAGTCAGAGAAGGTTTATAACCTCATCGATCGATTTGTCTTACTTGCTTAATAGCATTCATCTAACCTCGTTACTGTTCACATAATGATTCAAGCATACGTGAGCAATGCTACAAGAAATCAGTACTGTAAACTGGTGATATCTCAATATCTACGCTCGATAGCGATGTCTCAAAGTCTAGTAATAAGACAGAGAGGAATGCTGTGCATTATACTTGTCCAATAATATCTCACCAGCATCATTGATGATGCAGCATGGCAGATAACAAACGGGTCTTTTATAAAACAGCTGAAATTTCGTCAACAATCAATCTTTTTGTGCTGATGTCACTCCCCAAGTAAGTGGAGTAGTCAATAAACGTAATACATTCAAGCATCATTCTACAACTGATAGGTACAAAATATACGTCTAGCATACTCAGGTTTGTGATCACGGCGTGAGAAGATAGTGCATTTTGTCAGTACTTTTCTCTAACACTGCTACATCATCTGAGTATTCCGAGTCAATCAGCCGCTTTCTAGGAAGTAGATCAATCCATGTAAAGTTGGAGTCACCTAGGCTTATGTCTGCTAGCAGACTGATGACAATGTTGAACAGGAATGATGATGTTGGGCATCGGTGACGCACACCACTGGTTGTTGTCCCTTCAGATGACATCTCACCATAAGCGCTTACACGGCTGAATGAATTCCAGTGTGGAGATTTGATTGACATAAAATCCTTGCTGGGTATTGTCCTCACAGTTAGACAATGCCATAACACCTCTTGATCGAGAAAGTGGAGTATCACTTCCTGATGAAGAGGTGTGGAAGGTGTTAGGTGCTGGTAAGTGGATGTGTGTGTTGCAAAACTTGATGAAGGGTGATAGGATAGATGCACCCTCGTTCAAATGTGAAACTTACCTGGTTGTTTCGAGTTTGTTTTACTAGGGTTGCAGTTATACGTAGTATGACTATAGACAGTAGGATGTTAGACAGCATGTCAGCCAAACTAATTATTCCCCTGTGGTTGTCAAAACAGAAGAATTTCCTCCCTACTTAAAAAGCGGAATGATCACCAATCTAGACCAAATTGATGGAACTCTCTAACTTCAATACGCCTCCACCACTCAAATCAATAATTTTTCACCCTCGTCCTTAAAAACTTCACGTGGTGAACTGTTATATTCCGCTGCTTTGTATCGTTTCAAGTTTGAAACAGACTTCTGAACTTTGAGGTGATATTTGGAGGACCAGCATCCTCATTTTATTCGGGTTCGAACAAGATATTGAGAAACCGAAGCGTGTCGTTGGTCAGTTGGAATATGCTTCAAAGTGTTCCGCTCAACGTTTCAGTTGCCTGATGGTAGAGATGATCAGAGATCCATGCTTTTCAGAAATGATCTCACGATACATAGTCTTCTGCTTTATGGTTTCCTTAGAATCTAATGTGTTCAGCAACCACGTGCATTTTCATGTAATAAACAATGAACTACAACCATTGTGCGAGGACTAATGATAATACCCGGGTGTCCAGACATAGGTAGGTGGCACCGGCTTTGAACACGTAACACCCTAGTTGGAGGTCGAATGGTTGGACCAAACAGACACGGTCAGTTTCCTTAATGAGCCCAAATAATTGTCGAGTATTAGGTGATGCAGGATCCAGATACCTTCTCTATCTATTTTGCTTTGACGACGCACCACTGCTTGTGGTCACTGCGAAGACTCTTTGTAAGATCACATTTGCGTTGCTTTTGTTATTCATTGTGATCAGAGTTATCTGGAATGAGTCTTCTCGTATCAGTGTTTGAATGAGGTTGCGGAAAATAACTTTGTATTGCTAACCTTCGTATCTAGTTTGTCAACTGCCTTTAGCGATGTTTTTCCATCAGAGTAAACATTAGGCCAGACTTCATGAGGAAGAGAATTGCTGCGGTGTTTCAATAAATGCTTAGTTATCCCTGTCTAAATACATATTTGACGTCCCCATCTTCCAGTTGAGTCTACAAAGGTTTGACTGCTATGAGTTGCCTACGTCTATTAAGGTGCAGACACACGTGCATATAAACGCGTGATCGGCATCCAAGTTTGTACTTCAGAAAGGGCGGTAATTTTCTACGGGCGGCTTGTAACGATATGATCTATCCGTATCCACCATTGCTCGGATGTCAGTGGACACTGAGTGAGACAATGTCTATAGACATGGAGTTGCCTGAGTTGTTGGTGGTGGCGGTAGACGTTTCGACGACAGTCATTACTGCGAAACATAAAATAAGATGACATACAGCCGACCAACTTATAAAAAACACCGAATACGATGTTTATCAAAAGTAGTCTACAGTCTTAAAAATTCATGTCAACTGAAAATATGAATAGTTCTAGGCGAAATTTTTACTGAAACCTACATGTATCTACGTAAGCACATTGCTTAACAATATTTTGAAATTTCGGCTGCCAGAAAGTAATTGGTATTGCACCATACAAAGATGTCCACAATAATTTATCAATCTTAGTGAAAAGCCCAATATAAACGTGTGATACGTTACCAGCATTGGTCGTCTGTAAAAGATAGATAGTGAAAGATAAACTTCATACTTTAGTGTGGACTGAAAGCAGTAACTCCGGTATGATACGAGAATTTCTTGACAGGTGAGTAGAATAGTGAAAGGTGGGCATGCACTCATGTTAAGTAAATTGCCACAGCGATAACTATAGATCAAAATTTATTACAAACAAGAATTCTCATGGTTGTTGTTTCAGAGTATTTCCGGTCTATATGCTACCTTTTTCGAATAATTTACTATGCTTAACGACAAAATCAAGCTCACTCAGCTTGGTGTACGATTAGGATAGCAATATTTGAGAAAGAAACCAATCAAAACTGAAGGCTTTAGCTTTAGCTTCCATGAAGGTTGCAACTCATGAATAGGCTAGAAATACCACGTGGTTTTTTCAAGTTATAGAATATGAGACTTGCCCACAACAGCTTTTGAGGGGGAATTACGCATATATTTATTCAATAACCAAATAGGCATTCTCACTTGATGACACCCTTGCAGGTGTTATTAATGTATTTTACATGTCTTCTGATATCTCTATTTGTGAATCGTCAGTAAGAAGCACAAACAAATACATAACCTCAATGAAAGGTCTCCCGGGAAAAAAGTCTTCAGTCATTAACTTGCAATTTACTCAAACATTTCCCTCATGCACCAGTACCGAAGCTTACATCCATGCCTGATTATCTCAATCTTCGAAATCATCTTGTCTTATTTCTAAGTTTGCGTCCAATTTTCTTTTTATCTTACCACCAAATAGCACTAGTTATTTTCTTAATTGTCGCCTCCCCCTAATGTATTGAAGCAAAGATTGTAACATGGACAAAGAGATAGTTATAACAGCATATAATGTTTATATCTGCCAGCCTGTGTGAGCAAAACATAACGACAAGAGTAAATTTTGTTTCACATAGACTGATTAAAATATGCTTGTTTAAACTATTTCCTCAACCAAAATTGTGAAATAATACTGTCCAGTTTCAAAGCTGTAGAAAAAAAAGCTACGCAAGGCATGAAATGCATGAGAAGACAGGCTGAGACAAGTATTCAGATCTCCCACCAACCAAAAACAAACAATTTCCTCAAGATGATTGAAGGTGTCTAAGATGAAAATCAGCATTTGAAGTCAGCAACCTTTGAGGAAGTTCCAAAGGTTCATATTTTAAAATAAGCTTTTGGATGGTTCGAATATAAAAACGTCATCTTCTCATTCAATGACAGAAATTCATCTTAATATTTTCAAAGCAATCGTAGTTTGTGAATATTTCAGGAATATAGTCCCAGAAACGTTTATAAGATAAATGAACGACTAAAAGCAGTTGCTTTTATAGTGCACATAGCTACACTATGATGTAGGCCCCAGGGCGAATTAGTACTGTGAAACGCACGGTATTTTGCAACAATAAAGTGTTTAGCGTAGATGACCAGTAGTCTATACTGATGCTAATTCCCAAGATTCTGCTTATCATCAGATTACTCGGAGAATTTGTGTGCTTCCGTTTGTCTTCAGATTATTTGTGTTCATCTTCATATTAAGAGATATGAAATACATAACATAGAAGTCACGTACGTCCAACTTGACAATCTTACCACTATCATCATCTACTAGGTTTCTTAAACCCATAGACATTGTTAGCAACACTTTCGAGGGTGAAATAAGTTGCATAAAGAAGTAGTTTTTCCCTTTCTCTGTCTAAACTGGGAGGTCAAGTAAGTGGGCTGGCTATTTGTTATTGTGGTCATCAATTCGACTCCCTATTCAGAGCTAGTTATCTCAGTCGGTGCTCCAGGAAGTTAACTTTCGGTGTTTGGATTAACCACTAGTGTGGTGGAATAAAGGTGTATTGCATACTTTAATACCGGCCCACCTGGTTCAAAAAAAAATCACGAGACGTAGGTTATTCCGATATTTTCCCTCAGTTATTTCTCTGTAAAATTACTGAAAGCCCGCAGACGCTGAATGATCTCAACAGAAGCCATAGTCATTTAGCTTGAATAAACTGAACTGGCTACCAAAAAATTGATGGGTACAGTCATTACTGTGCCAGCTTTCTTAAACGTAAAGTTTTAAGTAGTTTTACATACGTCCCCACCCCTTTCATTCATTAAATCATAAACTCCTTCACTTTGTCTACATACATAGTGATTTTACCAGACTATGGTTGTTGATTCAATAATGTACACTGAGTGTTTCACGTGATATATTATCATCACAATAATAAGGTGTTTCGAACTGAATTCCAGTAATATTTGACTCTGGAACTGCTTTTCACATAGGCTTTATCTAACGACAATCTCTGGACTATATGAATTCAGTGACTGATAGTTATTAATAAAATCTCACTGTTGTCAAAATACTTTTTTTCTTTGATGAAATAATATAGAACAGGAGGCTAAGTTATCGAAAAGAATATTATCTCTTCATTAAACTGCCTTGTAAATTATGAAGTTTAGGCAACCAGGTAGTCCTAGTTAAACTACATTCTGTAATTTTACTGGTGTCTGTATTTATCACAGCCTGAGAAAAAATCAAGATCAACGGTTCACAAACAACTGTTGAAGTCATCTCAGTGATAAACAATTACCTATAAAGACTGCACTAGCAACAGTACAATAGGCACTTCTAGCCCGATAATTTACTCCATTTTGTGACAGAATCTGAATGGAAAATACTGGAGTCAAAGATTCTAAGTTCTTTCCTTTATAAAATGCTTCAATGAGATATACTTCCATTCCAGAGAGCTTAAGTAAGTGGACCATAGATTCATACTGTGGGTTCCAAATACCAGTTCTTGTTAGTGTATGCTAGTGTGACTGGAAACCATCTGAAGGCAATGAGCAACATCTATTGTTTGAGAAGGGCTTCAACACTAACTCGGTAGATGGAGGAAAGTCCGGTGCAGTAACACGTTAACCATATTACGGTTTTATTTTGTACTGCGCAACAACCTGTTTTGGGAGGAAAAGTCACAAACAGCTCAAGTAACTTTCCACAATCTCTCTTCATATTTGTGATACAGTGAAAATTTAGTCAACGAGAACCTACAAAAAACCAGTTCTAATAATTCATAAGCTAGCAATGAACGTACTTTCTTCAAAGTGTTCATAATGAACTTTTGATGTTCTTCACTTGGGATAGTTGCTAAAGTCATATTATAACTGCGACATTCATTATCTGCTTCAAAATATGTTGCGGATTGTGAACTAAGACGAATGCAGTAATGCACACTCGATATAGTTGTGCATACTTCCTTGTAGGTCGGCTCTAAAATTAAATGCGAAATCCAAAATTTTAATGAAAGTAAATTATTTGTAGCAAGACAATTCATCATTGCTTGATAATAAATAAATGCAAGATATCAACAATAATATTTATTATTATGAAGAGGCGACAAAGTAGTTGTCATAGCATGTTGTTACCTATTGTGCAACTACAAACAACAATCGAAGAGTGTCTATAATCTGGTCCGCCTGATTCTCGGACTCGAACTATAAAAATGTTCCAAGTTCTTTAAATTACTAGAGCATATGTTATCTTTTGGAACACGGATTTGGATTCAAGCAATAGGAATTCATTGTCAAATAGCAGTATACGAAGAATAATCTTTTATTACCAAGATTATTACTGTCGCAGCAGAATAGTCATTCGTTTCAGAGAACAAGATTTATTTTAGTCATTTTGAGTATTCTAGGTTGAAGTCCGATTAACAGATACCAGCTGATTGCAACTGGTATAATGGTGACGGGTAAAAGACTTCGCGGCAATCTAAGAGGCAAAGAAATAGTGTAGGACCTGGAACAACTGTGTGTGTACAGTAACGAGAAGTCAGTAAGAGTAATAGCGACAAGATAAAATAACATTTATGCCACAATAACTGATTTTCGACCACATCACCTTATAACTTCAACCAACAGTTTCAATTGGTAATGATGAAATTTTAAATTCTAGGCATAATTCGCACTTGGCGAGACTAATTACGGAGACATTTTTAAAAATCATAACCTCAATAAAACAGACATAATCACATGCTCCGCTATCATGCTTAAGCTTCCGCTGGATTTTGCATTCGATTTTCAATCAATGTATTATGGGTTTCAATAGGAATCATCACAAACGGCCTACCAAGAGATTAGATCACTAGCCTTCACATTAATACGTGTGTCTTACTAAGTAGTACACCAAATAGTAGGGCGGCTGCCAAGTTTCACTGCAATTTATTTATGATTCTTCAGTAAGGAATAAGTTAGTTTTTCCACCTCGTGTTATTCATAAGCTATTCCATAAAGAATATTTCGAGCGATCACAGTATTGCTCATCTGAATCAAGTAAGAAACTATTGTGAATTGATTGAATGATCTAATCAAATATTTAATGAAGACTATATTAGATGCAACAACAGACTGCTAATTAGTTGGCTGAAATCGACAGGGAGCCTTGATCTCATGGTTTGCGCGTGTTGGTAGTCATCAGCACGGTGCATCTGCAACCCCGAAAAAAATGATGTCCGGTTTAAGGTTTGAACCCGCGTCACCCAACGTTGCAATCAGCGATTTTACTACTAAGATATTCGTGCCGCCACTAGTCTCATGTAAGACTGTAAGACTAGTTTAAACAGTAGACTTGTTTTTGAAAACAGTGGTCATCGTACTGACTACGATAAAAGAGCGAAATATCTATACCTAAATCAATCTATCTATCTATCTATCATCAGTACAAACTCCAGACGTTTGTGCTGATGATCTTGTATATAATGACAACGAAAGCTCTACGATTAAACCATCCGGCTCAGAGAACACAACACTATCAAGATTCTGATACTTCTACCTAGCCTTCTTTTTGTAAATATTTCACACGTTCTTACATGAACTTACCAGAATACAAATTCAGGACAATGTGACAACGGCAGATGATGATGTCCAAAAAATATGAGCAAGATGACCAGGAAATCGGTATGGCAACATTGTATGATGGAAGACGTACTGATCCATGTTCTGAACATACGTACAGTAGGCAATGAGTCACGTCTATCGTGTGAGGGCTAGTAATACTACCTGGCTTTCCAACCTCCGTAGGTGGAGCGGGGTTCATGACCCATGACCCACTGGCTGGATCTCAACTCCTGAAACCACTGAACCACAGCTGCACTACATATGACGGATAACTATGGTTATAAATCCATCTGACAATATCAGTGAGGCATAAAATGATAACGAAATGAAGAAATAACTCTCGGGCGATTTTCATTTGTGGCAATAATTATCCCTGATTGTTCAAGTTGATGTGGCACACACCTTGAATGGACAATCCAAATCTCACCGGTTTACAGTTTGCACATCAATTGCTTAACTTGTGCGGCAGGTCAAATAACATTCATCGGAAAAAACGAATTAAATAAGGGTGGGAAATACATACCTCTGGTCTCCAAATCAGTGATTAAGTTGAAACGAGTTCATGATGCCATCCCTAAATGAATTTGTGAAATTCAATCCTAAGGATCCTGAAACTATAATGTTAATAAATGGAGATATACAGTATTCGTCTCATTTTAACCGTGGTTCAATTACAGTGATTTTTTTCATAAAAACTAAAAGTGAAAAGTAGCTAAATAGCTTCAAGAAATAATAAATTATCGAAAAGCGACGTCAAAGATGAAAATAAAAAGCACCTACTTACTTGAAATATGATTATGTGTTGGTTCAAACGACGTAGCATTTTTAATGATATTTGACAGAGATATAAATGACGTGAATCACAACTCACATCATTCCAATCATGTGTATGGCCAAGTGATATAAAACAACTTTCAATAGCTCCGTCTGAAAAGTGTCTACTAGGTTCACCAGGAGCGAACGATAAATAGTCTATGGGACTTTCATCGGTCCAATATAGACTAGATTTATTTACGAAAACTGACCTGTTATTCATCAATTCATCTGTAAAATCAATTGGAAAACACATTCAGCTGTTTATTCTTGACAAATGTATCATAACGTAACACTACTAGATAAGCAGCACACACAATAGCTATCCACAAAATGATCGTGATTCCAGTCCAGCATGAGAAAGACAAGACGCTCAAAACTCTCATCTCACTCGAGTGCAGGTGCACCCAACCAACGAGTTCTGAATAGAACGAAACGCGCGTCCTGAATTCCACTGCTAGCCACAACTAAGTCAATCATAACAATAAATATTCAGCCAATATCGAGGTATCCCTTACAGGAGCCCATATGCCAACAATGGTCGATCACTTCGATCCGGTATAACAACGGAGAATTACAAGTATCAAATAAGTAGTAATAACCGCATTTTAACAGTTGGTTGAAAAACGCCAAGGAACTGATAGACAATGTGTCCACGTAAACTCATTGTCTTCAGAAATTGAAGGCTCAAGTGAACTCATATTTTTCCTACTGAAATATGAACGAATGTTTGTAATATACGATAACGGAAAGAAATGGGATCATAGAAAGGCATTTCACACTACCGTTTCAGTTTATTGAACATGTTTATGTAAAACGCACGCTCATCAATTCAACCACACATTGGACACAACAATAGAATAGTTTTGTAGGTGAACAACTTACGACTGACTCGTAGACCTATCCAAATATCTGTCACGCCAAATAAATTACCAATGAAAGTTTGCTCATTTGGGCTGTGAATAGAGGCTAAATGGGCCTTGCCATGAACTCCGACATCATCAGAGTTTAAACAGTCCTTTTCAGCTGACGACCAGGTAAGAGGCGTGGAACGGATTGGTGATAAACACTTATGACCATATTGAATCCACTGTTTAGGACATGACGATAAGGAACCAGCAACGTCTTCCAGAAAGTGAGGCTTATGATTAGCTTAGTAAATAAATTAGAGAACACACAATAACAATAATGATTTTTTAAAATGATTTTTATACTTATACCAGTTTTGGTTACTTGAAAGTCAAATAACTAAAAAAGAGAAAACGACGATACACTGTAATTCAATTTTGTGATAAAACTTAGTTGCAGTTTTGGCAAACAAAAAAGATGAGCAAACAACTAGTGAACTAAACAAAATTGAGTACTGACATAAATACGAACTGATAACTTCATCTGGCACAATCCATAAAGACGAAAATGGTCTTGAGTCAGACACCTACACGTCATATCATGAGATATGAATATTAATTCTTTTATTCCGTTAGAAAGAAATAAGTGCAACTTGTTAAGCATACATATGACTACGTGAACCACCAAATCGCATACATATGTAAGGCATTATGACAAAATGGTCGACAGTACGGAGTGCAGCATGAGGGTGTGAACTCACTTTTTGCAGTCGAAAGCTTAGATTATCCGAATACGACTAAAACTTTCATTTACAATGAACGGTTCATTAGTATACAAGTAGTTAAAAAGAGAGTTGTTAATGTCCACCTTTACTCCATCCTACATCACTAGACTAGAAGACGATGGAAACCAATTCTATATGATTGATCATCCTACAAATTAACAGGTGCAAAACGCATGCTAAATATACTCAGATTTTTACTGTTAATAAACGCTGCGTTTTGTCAAGGTTGTCATCTAGTACATATATATTGTCTGCGCACTCCAAGTCAACTAGGTGTCACCCTAGGAATAAGTCAAATTCTGTTAAGTCAGAGATAGTTTAAGTCATATCCACTATCATTTCTATAACAATGTTAAACGGGAACGGTGACAGTGAACACCCAAAGCAGGTGCCACTAGTTGTCGTTACTTCAAACGACGAATTTTCATAATCCCTCATACAGCTAAGTCAACTGGGATAGAAAAAGTTAACTGGCATTTATACTCGTTTGGTATTTCCCTCATCGCCGGACACTGCCGCAAAAGTTAAGTCGATGAAGTTAAATACAGCCTTCAGATCAAGAGATATGGCAAGTGTCGGGTGCCAGTGAGCATGCCTGTATTCCGAAAGATGGAGAATGGTTATGTGATGTATCCATCCTTCTACCACCCCTCGGTCTCTAATGGCCTGCTATGCGGTCAAAACTTCTACCAGGAAAGTCCTATTCACTAACTTCAAATGGCGGGGTGCTTCAACAAAAAGTGAAAGGGCGAAAGTGAATGTCTGGCGCTTATAACCGGATTCGGGGATACTGAAGGCTCACCTAAAGGAGTTGGAAAACCCTGATTTCAAACTAGTAGTGCGCATTGGCTCCAGATTTCAGAATTAACGAATGGCCCATGAACTTATTTCGGTCACCAGGAAACATGGGAATGCAGCTCCTGATGTTGCTCCATTACCTTGAGGATTCGACTTTAAGTTGAAGACTCGGGTAGTGGTCCCCTAAGGCAACAACCTGCTTCCGTTTTGGCACCCAGATAGCATTCCAGCCATAACACAAAATGTTAATTTATAGTATAAAATGAAGAGTTTGAAGCAATTAACCAACTTCCTTGTGAACACTCAAGCTATCCGCACTATGAACCTATTAAAAGATGACTTAATTTGTTGCCATTATGTTGCTTTTTTATGTTTTTACACAAGAGCTGTATTTTTACCACTCAGTGAAGTCATCTAGAAACACCAGCTTCTGTGACATGTGTTACGCATGTCGTACAAACGGTTTCCATACCTTTTATTGTTCGCTACACCTGGGACTGGATGGAACAAGCGAAGTGGTCAGTGTATGACGTAGTGCCATGAGATGAAGGATAGTTGTATCGGGCTGGCATTTGTTCGTGCATCATGAATCCTTAGAGAGAGTCTCAAAATCATGCAACTCAGTAGTTTGAGGCGTTATGAAATATGATACACAATCGAAATTAGTGTCAGTCGTGATGTAGATTCCTTCTATCTTCTGCTGCTGAAAAGGAATGAATGTTTCGTTTTGAATGTATCTTACTGAACTTCCCTTCAAATCATTCCATTCTTATTGTATTTTACTTCTATCCACTTCCCTTCGCTTTATATCTTCAAAATAGTGTTATACTTTGTGTGGCGCATTTCTCGGTGCTCTTGTTATACCATGTTTATGTTCTCATATGGATAATAATAACGATAATCGACCCCTGTCCAGATGTGAAATCTGTCTGATTTTCTCGAATTTGCTGTTCATGAGCTCAAGTTAAAAGTTGGGTAACTCTATGGGCCTAAGAATGTTAGAGAGGATCTCAATCAAACTACTTCCGCTATGGTTGTCGCATGAAATTTTTGCACCCGTCTAATAAACTGGAATGTTCAGCAAACTACATTCTGATCCACACATACTACCTAGCAACACAGTTACTCCAATCAGTTATTTCCCACATTCATCCATAAGAACTCCTGGCAAAGTGTTGGGTCCTTAGGCTTTGCACTGTTTCACATTTGCAAGTTTTTTTCGAAGATTAAGGTCCACTTTCAATTCAATAATAGAAAATAACTATGATGCTAATGTGAGTATACAGCTTAGGATTCTCCTTTACTTTATAACCGTGAAAGATGATCGCTCAATAAAGTCTTATGGCCAAGAATGGATATAGCTCATTCATCTCTTTACAACATCAAAATAAAGCTAATTAGAAATGAGGTGAAGTAAAAAAAATTACGGTTTTCAAGGAGAATGAACATGTGCTTTTGTACTTCAAATCTCTTCGTTAGAAATATTCATAAATTAAAATAAGCAGTCTTTCTGATGCCGACTAACGCTGAGACAATTCGATATCCAGTATATATAACACACTACTTATTAACCATTAGCATCTATCCCATAAAACAAAGCATTCTTATGAATCACTTTACACAACTAAAATTCTTACAAATTGTGCAGTATGCAATAAATACGTAGTTTTGCCATATACAAACAAGAGAAATGTCATTCTCCTCATGAACAGGTGCTTCATTATCGCCTCCATACAGCAACATACAACGTCAAGATTTAACCCGATATTGTCACTCAAATTCTTTTCGGATTTATTCAATTACGAATACCAAACGACAAAAAATTAAGAAAAGGTTTAAGAATATAAAGTAACACTTCTGAGTCATTTACTCACTGAATGAATCCTTCTGTTAAGAAAATCAACTAGTTCATTACGTTCTCATGATAATCGTAGAGACTGAATCATCAGTAAGATGGGACCATAAGCTTTGAGTAGTAAGAGAATGCGCCTTATGTAGAGGGCATATTATTTTCTCTAGACTTAAAAATAGACTCAGTGGTTTTTCAATTATTGTCATGGCCCTTGTTGAAAAAGCTTACAGTCAAGTGGTTCTCAAGTTACAACACTCGGCCAATTGGCCGATGTGTTGGGAACGATATGATAGTGACCTATTTCTGCTGAAAGTTATGATTCAACAACGAAAATGAACTCATTACTAAACAAGCCAAAAGACTAACGACTACCTTCTGTCAACTTGTGAAGGCCATTTACCAGGGCCGCTGTTGATCAGTTAATCTTATTTTTAACCGGGTATTTACGTTACTTAACTTAATGCCAACCTTTAATTAAAATATTGTTTTTTAAGGTAGTATTTATCACGAACTGACATCAATTAGACAGTCAATGAAAACCTGTGAGCACTGCACAGGTGTTTCGTCCTACGATGGGACTTCTCATCAGTGCATGCCCGCAGCTCTGTCAAGAATGAAACCCAGAAACTTCTGGTATCGCAGCGAACGCGTTAGCCATTTAGCTACCGGGCCAGAGTTCAATGGTCCACAGTCTCCTATATTTCTATCGATTCGTGATGTAGCTCGACTGCATAGTGCTCACTAATGAGATGCTCTGAGAAAGACATCCCGAAGTCCTAAAGAGAAGCCACAAACTGTGGGATCAACTGGTCGGAAGTGAAGTAAATCCCAAATGAAGACCTAGGTGGATAGTTGCACTGCATTGTGAATCGGCAGAAGCAGGAGACTTTGGGCCATTGAAATTTGAATCAGTAGCTGAATGGTTAGCGCATTCACCGCGAGACTTGAATTTTCTGAGTTCCACCCCTTGGAGGGGTCGTGAGCGTGCACTAGTGAGGGTCCCTTCCTAGAAGAAAACAGCTGCTCAGTGCTCCGAGGTTTTTAATGTTTCCACGAGTGGTGCCAGTCTGTGATTAATACTACCTCAAGAATAAAATCACCATAAAAAAACCAACCTACAATATTATTCTCAATACCATTTCGGTGAGTGAAAATTAACAAACTATACCTACATACTCATAAACTATTGGTAAAACTTGTGCTCACCAAAAAAAAGATCTCAGTACATGAGACTACTCATTCATAGTCACTTAAACAGATAACAATCCAGTCAAAAGTTATTGGTCGTGCAAATTATTCACTAGAGTCAAAGGTAGGATCAAATTATTTAATTGTTGTTGTTTTTTATTCAGAGAATTGTGCCTCAATATCTGTCGTGTAATCATTTACCTGAGTAATATTTCTGATAAGTAAACATAGAGATACACATAAACGAACATCCTTCTTATTGAATTTTACAAAACAAACGGCAATTACACAGAAATTAACTCGTTCGCTAGAATTCAATGTCACCACAATTACTAAATCACTATCATCATGATTACAGCATAATAGACATTTGTAATTGGGTGCTTATTGTCATTATTATTATTATTATTATTATCATGATGCACAGATGTATATCACTCAAAAGCCAAGAAGAGAAGAATCTTGACACATTTGTTTTTTCACAAATACTGGGTGATGATCGAAGGTGAGATGAATTTCTGGACCTCAGCCGGATTCCAACTAGTGACCACCGGGTCTTGTCTTTAACTGATTCATACATATCAAGGTTAGATTGAAAATGACATCATATCCGTCTAGTGACGTAACCTTATTTTACTTACTGCCACCTTTGGTGTAACAAATTAAAGAAATGATCATTTGAATACACACTGTCTAACCGTTTCAATAAGCATGAACTGCGATAGAATATAAATGATTGATGAGTCTGCATATTCTTAATTTCTATACCCCTTTATATTCTTGCTTCCTGTAGCTATAACACACGATGCACTGCTAAATGTTTAAGAGATGACCCCGTTGTTCTGCATACTACAAACCAGAAATGACTTATTTTTATGAACTGCTAGAATAACTTCATAATATATTATGGAAACACTGAGTACTATGCTCGCTCAAAAATAAGATATCGTTGGTGTGGAATCAAGCATCTTTAATCAGGTCAAACTTAAGCTAATTAACGTAAGTTACTAACTTTAACACGACAACTACGAACATATTCCAAAACGAAGTAACGCACAGTTTCTATTGTGTGGAGTAGTGATATTAGCTGGCTGTTTCAACCTCTGTAGTTGGAGCACACTTCGTTCCCACAACGCACTGGTCTAAAGTAGAGAGTCACAACTCTAATCTTTACTTCACAGTGGATAGGGAAGGTCTTAAGACCAATCTTCTTCCATCCTCTCGACTTCCACAATTGATTTCCTAATTTTCAGCTCGGCCAATTGATATGCATTTATACTAGGTCTTTTGTTGTTTATGTGTGTCTATTTTTCTATCTCTACATACACCCGTCCAAGTAAAGTTTACCAAGTTGTCGAACTACCAACTCTGAACTTTTGTGAATTTCTCTTCCAAAATAATGTTAGACAGTTTATGAGAGCAATTATACTGTACACAAAACAAATAATAAGCTTTAAAAAGTGTAACCAAAATCACCTGAGTTAGTTGTCTACATTACCTATGACTGCTACTTACCATTATGAGTAAGAGTGAAAACTGTTACTTGGTAACTACAAACAGGCTTATGTACTCAAATGTTAACTGCGACAATTGAGCATGTGTAACAATAATGCTCCAAATTTGCATGCTGAACACGTTTTAACTTGTAATCATGTCTAAATCGGGAAACTTCAAGTAAACTAAAATAAATGACTTGTGTTTAGTCAACAGAGCATGAAGCCTAGAGAAACATAAAGCCTATAGGATAAACTTATCATTATTGTAATGACTATTATTATTCCACCTTGTTTGTCTGTGACTCGTACTGAAGGAAAAAACAGTATGAACGATTTCTCCCAATTCCATACGTTAGTATTATTGTTTTGTAAATCAAAAGCATTGCTTAACCCAGCCAGTTAACTTTTCAAAAGACACTAACCAGTGGCTTAAAGAGTAAAGGATTTAGCAATGAATGAACCAGGAGAGCAAACCATAAATCAAGTTACGGATCATTGCAAATCAGTAAGTATATCTATCAATTTTGTAACCTTGAATTGTCCAATTATTGTAGGCGATCAAAAATAAAGACTTACGCAAAGAATAACCACATACTGACGGCAACTTGAGGGAACAATTCAGCACATCCACAGCCACACTATCACGATTAATAGATATACACAGACGATTTTCTTGAGCTACAAATAAATCCATCATTCGTATGTGGGGCAAATTATAAAAATTGTGTACCATAGCATCATAAAATGAATCGTTATTCTCTGTCCTGTAGTACAACTAGAGATGAGAAGGAAAAAAACAAGGCAATCAACTAGTTTCAAGCATACAGCTCAGAAAGCATGTGCAGGTTCATGTATTAGGCTGTAATCCATATCAAAAGCTGAGCAGGTGACGAGAAGGATTCCTACCTATGAAATAAACGTGAAAATCAAGTGTACCAGAATTACTACACCACCTGAACAACTACTTAAAGAAACACCTGAAGACGACTTTTCTATTAATTACAGATTCCGATAATAGGTTATCAATAGTAACTTTACTCCTCAAGTTAACCATATAACTGCATTGCCTATAGCAAAATGAAAGGAATAGGCTAGAAAGTATGAATCAGTGGTTCAATCAACTACTTAGACTATTGAACCATAAGTCCCAGAATTGTGTGGGAAATATATTGCGAATAAAGTATTTATCGGTATGGAGACAACATACTTATGATTCTAAAGAGCCTGTAGGAAAAGTAAAACAGATCTTCAGTCCTAGAAAAAGTAAAAACGACTCGATTTGCAGCACATGATAAATTCATCGTACTTCGTTGCATGCTGTTCAACTGCCTGCAAGCTATAAAAAAAGATTAAGTGAATATTAACGCATTCAAACAATTGAGTAAAACAAGGTATCCATCACGGATCGACAATTAATTGATGGAGAAGTAAAGTAGAAGATCAAAATAGGTGAAAGGAGTTTTATAAATAATTGAAGTAATAGTTTAGGAATATCAATAATTATTGGGTGTGATGAGTAAAATTATTGTCAATAGTAACAAAGGAAATGAATAATTCGGAGAAGACTGAGATGATAAGGTATTTACTGAACACACAACATGAAGTGAGAGCAACAGATGTATTCCGGAAATCGAATGCACAAACAACACGACTCAAGCTAGCAGGTGATCATAGTAGTTAGAAGATCGAAAAGTAACCATTTTATTCACTAAGATTCAATGGTTAAAATTCAACTGCTTCTATTACGTAACTAATAAAATATGACATATCAACCCGTTTGATTAGTTCTGTTACTTACTTTTTGTTCTCCTTAAGTCTAACTATAACTTATCAAGCTCACCATAGCTTGTCTTCCTTTCCTACTACCGATATTACCTTTTTTCACCGTACTGCATAATTATGTATACTCCAGGGCTATCACACTATAATTAGTTATAAAGCTATTTTCAACTATTTTAATCTTTTCCTTTGCTTTTCGAAGGGTTAATCATCAATCCATGATGGACACCTTACTTTCTCAATCGTCAGATACAATAATATTCAATAGTATTTAAAAATTTGACCTTTTCTTTACGCTGTACGCAGCCGAATAGAATGCATCGAAATATGATGAATTTATCGTTCTTACTTTGTTTGAGTTCGTTAGGGGAGATAACTGCACTCAATCTTACACTCCGCTTGGAACGATGTACATGCTGTAATGAATATCCTCTACAACATTCCCACACTAACTTGTATCCTAAACTTCCGAAATAGTCGGTAAAGAGTGAATAACAAATAAATATCATTTAAAAACATGATCAATGCAAAACGATTTTCCACTATACCTCTAACATACTCATAGCAAATGAACAACTTTAATTGATGAAAGAAAAACCTGCACCCTTCAGCTATGAGGTCACATTTCCTAAGATATAACAGTGACCAAATGGATTCAAAAGAAAAGTAAACAAATTCATTGTGTAAGGAATTTTTCTTGGACTGGACATTCATGTGTGTATTTCTTACAGCAGATAGCAGTAATTCATTAAAACTCAGTGGCTGTCCTGTAATCGTTGACTACATACCTGCCTGTGAAAAATAGTTTACAGTTATGTTACGCATAAAAACTAGCAGCCAAGGCACTTTTACTCGTCAATATGCTGTTCTTATGGATACTGTGTTGCATGAAATCCAATGGCCAAGCGAACACAACACACTACAATTCAATTTAATGAATACAATCCCATCAACTCATAATATATCTAACATACTCAAGCCTTTCAAATGTAGCATGTCGTTAAATAGTCGCAGTTGATGTGGTTAGACATTTCAACATTTCGTAAGGCTGAAATCCGATACTCAATAGAGTTAATCTACAATATTAAAATATTCTAGAAATGCAAACCAACGGAATGATTACTTTTCTTACTTCAAGTTTACTACACTGTAGAATCAGCCTATCTGTCCCTAACTGAAAGTATCTCAGAGAAATTGATTTAAATCTAGTGTAAAATTCAGTAGTAAGTGAAATTATTAACATTTTTTGATAGCAAAAGTATAACCTACACAAATACTAAGAATTTTGATAAATGAAATACTAATTACCTTAGATTTAGATTTCAAATCGAATACAAGTGAGACTCCAGTCCATGCTTGATCAGTTGATAAGTTAGATGTGGTTTGCAGTAACAATCGCATGAAAGCAGATTCATCACTAGAATACGGTGATAATTTGATACCACAAGAGGCCATTTTACCATCATCATTCAGATATAAGTGATAGCACCGACCACTGTACTCATAATAATCATCTCGACATGCACCTTGAGTTAGGATACTAGATGTAGCCAGAATACCATTAACTGAAGCTTTGGAGGATAAATAAAATGTAAATACACATTATTGATGGAAAACGATATCAACATTTTAAAAAATTAGTGTGTTGTGCTGTGAATTCGATGACAAATAGTTAACAAGAGAGGTAATTAAAAAGACATTGGTAACAAGCATTGGTGACGTTTATCTCAAACCAAATTGCTGACTGTGTGACATGGGGAAGTCTAACTTAGTGAATTTAATACATTCTCACTAGAATCAAAAGTGGCAAAAGTATCTACTAAGCTCTAGGTTTTAAACTAGTTTTTACTTACAACGGCAAGGGTTGTCTTCAAATTCCCAAATTATGGTTCCTGAGATATAAAAAATACACAACGTTTAGCAGTTTAGACAAATCACGAGTCATGTAAGAATCCGCTCACAAGATGCTTATGACTACCTTTAAACACCAGAATCTAGTAACGAACAGAAGAGAGAAAAAATGAAACCCACTCAGCAACCATGTGCATGTTCGTGTAGGTAGGCGATGAATCTAGTGTACAACAATAACTAAGGGGATGACATCGCATTTGCTAATTGATAGATTTCCATAAAGACAGCGGACTAAACATAACCAAAATGTCGTAGTAATTTGTTACAATATGTAGAAGAGCAGTATGAGAGGACCACTAAAACGGGATGACAAAAAATATTTATAAAAATATGAGTAGTAGAGAAACAAACAGCAGTGCTATCGGAAAGGAAAATACTTTCACTGTAACACAGCAAAACTTAAAAGGAGCTATACTGTAACAACGATAATTTTCAGGTGTTGCAAGATGAAACTGCAAACATAATTATTAAAGAAACGAAAGTACAAAACTAAAGTACTAGTAGTTTGAGTATAATATCAGACATAGTGAGTAAAGAAATACAGAGATTGAATAGAATCAGGCTATTGTAGTTGGTTTTGACTGATACTATACAGTGAATAGACTAAATAATGGCTTCTAATATATCGATAATGTAAAGGCAGATAGTAAAATGAAGATAATATTCAACAGCCTTATGTCGTTCTGCCCTCGTATATGACGTTGATACATGATAGGTAAAAGTAGATGTAAAGAGATTACATGTTTTTGACCACAGTGCACTCTGTAAACTTTTGAACCTGGTTTCACGACAGCCCAGAAGCTCTCATTACTTTCTCACACGGCCTCTTCCATGTCACCCTCACCTCGGACGCCCAACTCGTCGCTTCCCATGGGGGTTCCACTCGAGTACCTGGCCTGGCCTGTGATATCCCCAGTCGGCCATCTCAATATATGCCCAATCCATCTCCACTTCCTTCCAATGCATATTTGTTCAGCGATAGCTTCTTGGTCGGTTCTTCACCAGCCAGAGTTCATTGCTGCTCATTCTTTCTGGCCATCTGAACTTCAGTAACGAGCCAGCGGAGGCAGGTGTTGATGAATGTCTGTAGTTTGTTGGAAATGCCTTTCGTAACGCACCAAGTCTCTCAACCATCACATAGAAGCACTAACTTGACTGAAGTTGGTGTTGAAAATCCGGATATTGTTCACGCTTTATGCTGAGTGCAGTGCAGTAAATCTCTACACTGATTTCAGGCTAATGAACGCTTGTCTTGCTTTTCCGATGCTGACTTTGCCATCCTCATCTGTGACACCTGTAGTTGAAACAGTGCTGCCTAGATAGGTGTAGGTGAAAGAGGCTACTTCCTTGAAGTTTCTCCCGTTGATGGTGATTGGAGCTTGTTGTTGTTGTTGGTGGTGGTGGTGTTGGTTGGGTATCTTCATCACCTCTCTCTTCTCTACGTTCACTTGAAGTCCTGTCTTCGCTGCCTCGCCTCTTCTGTCAACTTGTTAGTTTTAGCCTGTAGATCTTTGAGTTTGTGTGACATTAGATAGAAGTCATCGGCGAAATCTAAATCTTCTAGGTTCTTTTCCGCAGTCCAGCGTATCCCCCTCTTCTCGATCCTCACTGTCTGTTGCATAATCCAGTCGACTACAATCAGGAAGATCATGGGTGACAGTAGACAGCCTTGTTTAACTCCTGTCTTCACTTCAAATGCATCACTGAGCCTTCCATTGTGGATTACTTGTCATGTGGCATCTTCATATAGTTGTTGAATGAGATTGATAAAAGTTTGTGGTATTCCGCAGTGTTGAAGCAACTGCCAAATTACTTCTCGGTCGACGCTGTCGAAGTCCTTTTCAAAGTCGATGAAGTTGAGGTAGAGAGTTGACTACCATTCTATACTCTGTTCTATGATGATGAGAAGAGGACAAGACCTTACTTTAAGATTATCTACTGGAGAGTGATGTCCTTGAGACGTTCGTTAACATCTTGAAAGCCCTATATTTCAACACCTCAAGTAGAGTGAATTTATACATACAGTCACCTATTTCCTTTGTTTCTGACCAATAGAAGGATTATGGAGGCTGCCAACTTCGTTATTTATTTTATTCTTCACCATCAACAATATTCTAGAGAGTCCTTAATTAAGTGCATGGTGGTGAAATAAACCTGCAATGAAGTGAAAGACTCTTTGACCGAGAGTGTCCAGACGATATGGATTCATTGTGAGAAAACATGCAGGTTATTCGAATAGCGCTTAGTCAGTTGGCGATTAGTTTCCACAAATAGGGTATCTGTTTTGTACCATGGAAGACCAAAGTGCTTCTACAAGATTGATAACAGTACAATTGCTGGTTTACCAGTTAGTCGGAAGTGTGTCTAAAACAACTACGCGGCGTCTGCGGTTAATAAACGCCCAAACGTCGATGGAGAACACTGAATAAGTTGCCCAGAAATCTGATTAGCCAAACTGTGGAGCCAGTGATCACTGAGAATAAAGGAACACAACATAGATGCCAGCACAAACTTGTAGAATTGATAATGAAAGACAAAAATAATGACACACCCCTCATCCGTGCAGTAGCATGCAAAATAAACTGCACGGTGAGTCAAACATATGACTGATTATAGTACAAAACGCAATGTGTCTCATTTCAGTCTGATTAAAACAAAAGCAACAACGGCAATACACAGAGGAGCGACTTAGGCCTTATAAAGCATAAATGGCTGAAGGTTAGTAAGCTTTTTCGATAAACGGGTAGCGACACTGCGAAAAGGAAAAAAGGGGATGTAGGTCAAAATGACATACAGCAGTATCCAAAAGCCACGCCATCTATAAACTTCACTTGCCAAACCTCTGGCATCCTGCTCCATTGACGTCTGCTGAGTTTGTGAGACATACATACAGGACATTCGTAAAAAACTATGGTCTGGATGTTTTTAATGTGTTTATTCACTTAACTTCACCTGGTCAGTTTGGTGAATCTGCAAAACTCAAACCTACAGCTTTTGGAGATTTGATGGCTAGTGCTCACAGTCTTTCAGGTGTAGGCATAGCACTTAGTATTAAGATAAAAGGTGCAGTGCTCGACTGCATCTCATTTGACAGTCTACTGGGCTCTGTTGAACTCAACATTGCATTGAGGACTGAAGAGAAGCACGAAACCCACCATTATCTCTTTATGATCTATGCTTACGCACCCACCACATAGTTCAGATGAAGTGGGAAATGAATTCTACCGAAAACTGTCTAGCCTTTTACTGAAGACCTAACGCTCAGATGTGGTTGTTGTAGCAGGTGATTTTAATGCACAAGTGTGTATGCCAAGTCAGATAGAGAGACACTTAGCTGACGCTTTCGGAATCTATTTCTAACCAACATGAATTTAAGGCAAATGGAAAGACATTGTCTGAAGTGGCTTCCACCAACCACAATTCAGCGATAGACACAGATAGATCACGGTGCTATGAGTTATCGTTGGAGAGAGTCGGTGGTAGATTGATCATCCTTCTGGAGCACATATTTGAACAGAGATCATACATTGCTTCAAGCATATATATGTCTGCGCCTAAATCGAAGTGAAAAACTACACCAGCAAGACCATTTCAAGCACAGCTTGACGATGAAAGTACAACGGCTGTTTCCAACAAGAAACTAGCTAGACAGGTATTGCATAGAAAAACTTCACTCATATGGAAGAAGCCTGGTGCCGTCTTCTGTCTGTTGTAAGAATGGTGTTCAAAACCGTAACTAACTCTCAGAAAGATGTTGGAAACGATCGGTGAATCTCAACAGTTTCTGAAAAAATGGTCGCATGTGAACTGATTCCTGCAGACCTCAAACACAATGAGGAGCCACAGCAACTCAAATATAGGTTGGCAAAGAGTCTACGCAATGACTATGAGCGGTGGTGTGCAGCGAAGGTTGAAGAAATACAAAAGTAGCATCGTTAGGTAACTTTAGATAGACAGTCATTTAGAGTGATCAAGGGAACTGTGACTTAAAGAGTCGGCTATTCACTTGCTTGCAACGCAGACGACTGCAACGATGAGTGAAACATTTCGAGGAACAGTTCAACTGGCGTTCAGCTAGCATTTCTTTGTCCACAATCCAGTCACATCCCGAATGTAAAATTGAGGTAGGGCCTAAAACTCTTACAGAAGTAAAGAAGGCTGTACGTAACCTGAAACGACGAAGAGCAGCAGGTTTAGGTAAACTAATACAAGATCTATTAGTGAAGGGCAGTTGAGGACCATCGAAGTCAGTGAGCGAGTATTAGCTCGCAAGTCGGAGTCAGTTACGATCCTCTCTGACTGACCTCAATCGCTGATTGTCCTAGTTGTCACGAAACGAGAGAAAGACCTCTTGATCATTACAGAGGAATCAGTTTAACGAGCGTATTGTCTAAGATCCTAGGTCCAGTTATCTCTAAACGCCTAAAAGAAGTTCGGGAACAGCGAACCAAGAAACTAGGTCAGTTTCAAACCTGGTCGTGAATGTATCGACCAGATATTAGCATTCCGTCAGGTTCTGAAACACGGATACACTTACAGATACCCAACACTCGCTGTATTTCTTTATCTGAAGGCCGGATTCCATACCATCGATCGCGAGGTCCTATGATAAGGTCTCCAGCTGAAAAAGTTGCTGGATAAACACATCACTCTATGAAAG